CGTGTAGGTCGCTCGGCGACCTAGGTGGGTAATAGGATTTCCCACAACACTGTTGAATTCGAAAAAAATCAGCACCCCACACGTACTTCATTCGGGGTATGGGCTGGCCTGTCTGTTCCTGATTTGACGAAGTTTGGCTTCCGACCTGTTTTAACACTAGTTTTGTTTTTATAGTTTTTATTTTTGTGTTTGTTTTCTTTTACTTTTTTTATTTTCAAATTCATGACTATTTGTAGAAATTCATGATTTTTTTTTGATTTTTTAGATGTTCAAGAATATTTTTATATTTTTTGGATTTTTTGCAATTTTTTGCACATGTTTGAAAAGTCTCAGAAAGTTTTACAATTACAAAAAAATTCTCATACGCTTTTGTGAACATATTTGAAATTTCACAAATGCTTACTTTTTGTGTGTGAATATTTTCTTCAAATCTGTGTAATTTTCAAAATTCATGATTTTTTTCAAATCAGGTTTTTCAATTAACAAACATTTTTTATATATTTTGTATACCTTTTTTAGAAACCGTGAACATATTTTTAATTAGTGTTCTCTAAAATGTTGTGAACAGTACTGAACTGAGGAATTTGTTTTTTCTGCACACCTAGCAAGCACGTTTTCTTTTAAAACGTTTGCTATATAAAAAGACATGCTTGCTACGTGTGCAGGAAAACCCGTAGCAAATACATACTTCAAAAAAATCCGAGCAATCTTCTTTTTCTGCACACCAACCGAACACATTTTTTTAATGTAGCAAACATGTTTTTTAGGTAACATCTCTTAACTTTACTGAATAATAAGAATGCTTACATGAACATATATTGTATCAAAAGGAACTACAAGCCACACATGGCGTCCCAACGTCAGCGAACTAGCGTACTTAGCGATGTTGTGAGCTTCGTAGTTATTGTTACATCCCTCGTGAGTAAAAACAAACACTCTGAAAAAGATTTAGAGTGTTGAACAATCTCGTTAGTTATAGCTACGTGTAATCCCGTTCCCCCATCTGCAATATCATCAATCACCCCTTTGCAATCCATGGCAATTTGAAGTCTCTGCTGCGCCAAATCAGAAACCATGCAAAGCCCCTCACGACATGCAATTGCTTCTGCAACAGCTGGGTCAGAAACTCATATATACATATACCAAAGCTGATGCACCAAGATATAGCCATCTGAATCCCTGCATATTGCCGCCGACTCAACAAACTCTCCATCGCGTGAAAAAGCTGCATCAGAATTCACCTTAGCATGACTTGCCCTTGGCGCCATCCATCTTCTCTGTACTTGTACCCCGCCGTACGTACTTGAGCAGGTTCCTTCTCACTGCTTTTAATTTCTTCAATAAAGCATTTGATGAGAGATTGTGTTGCAAATGGGCTTTGGTAGAAAAGGAGATGGCGTCCTGCACCAAATGGGTCGGCTCATCATTACATCCCCGCTTATAAGGGCAATTCCCCATTGATGCCGGGAGTAGGAGCTCCAAGGTTATGTCTCGTTTACTGTTAGATCGACGAAGAGCCCGCCTCTCACGATTTCATAACGAGTCACGACCCAACAACGAGAAGGCTGCAATGGTGCTAGTGGTTTTTGAAGGTTATAGCCGTTTTCCTTACTTTTCTCTAAGTTTTTTTATACTAGTTTATCATTTTTTGATTTGTACGAGTTTTTCCTTTTGTTTAAATTTTTGTCCTTTCCGTTTTTCTATTTCTTTTTCACCTTTTGTCTTTCCTGTCCTTTTCATTCTAAAATACACGCGACATTTTGTTCAAATACACATCATACATCTTTCAGTTACATGTTAAATATTCTTCAGATACACGTCAATTTTTTTCTAAATATGCATTGAACATTTTTTTGAATACCTCTTGAACATGTGCCAAATGCACATTTGTTAACATTTTCTAAACTTATGTTCTACTTTTTCCAAGAGTGCCATGAACATATATTTAAATATGTGACATTTTTTTAATGGTATAAATATTGTTTTTTAAATTATGCTAACAAAGTTTTACATTTTTTGAACAATTTATGAAACTGTCTTGAGCATGTTTTTAGATGTCACAAACATTTTTTGAATGGTATGAATAGTTTTTGGATTGCGTAAGAAAATTATTATATTTATATGAAGATTTTGAAAAATTAAGTAAAATATATTTCTATATATAGATATATTGCATATTTAAAATATTTCAAAAATCTCTATACTACTTAAAAAGAACGCAAGGTCCATTTCACCTTTCTTTCCACCACCTCTTCGTCGAACCTTCCCCAAATGATAATCAATCACCTTAATTTACTTACCTTCTGAATCAATTCCACTTTAATTTACTTATCAAACTTCTCATCAGAACATAAGATAAATCACTGGCAGGATTTGATAAACATTTATTTACACAATCACATTTACATGGGTAGGTAAATCACAAGCTAACATACTAGAATATCTATATCCCGTTGCAACACACGTGCATTGTCTTATTATATATAAATAAATTAAAAAAAGAATAGCGTTCCTTTTCCTACCAGGCGTAGTGCTTCGTCCAACATTTCATATTTTTCCTGATGATCATCCCTTGAAAACTGCATTAATTGTCTCATATTTTATCGACTTACCAAATAATCTATATTTTCTTTGGCAAGTCAATAAGTGATTGCAAAAGGACAAAAATCATAACATAATTTGGTAAATATTTATTCACACAATCATATAATATGAAATTATGGGCTAATGTACTACAATATTTATACCTCGTAGCAATGCACAGATAAATACCTATATAAATAAAATTAGAGACAAAAAATTGGACAAAGAAACAAAATAAGCCACCAAGTGAACGAAGTGAACGAGCGTCACGTGCAATACTATGTTGTCGGACTTACAACTCGCTATAGGTCTTTTTTTTAATAATAGCTCGCTATAGGTCAGCTATATGCATATCTCATTCAACGTGCTACAAGTTTCCTTAACGGTAAAACTTATCTTTATTGCTCAAATGAAAGGTTTACAGGAATAACATACAGGTCGGCGGGAAATCCCAAACACAAGCAGCACCCGTTTTCGAAAGAACTAGAGCATTTAGCTAAATTGTGAGCTTCTTTGTTCAACTACCGCCCTTCAAATATAAAGGCACAACTAGCAAACTTCTCTTGCCTGGGCCATAATTTCATGATAGAGTACCTTCCATCCGTGCCATTTTTTATATCTGAGACCTCCTGCTTACTATCACACGTGCGATAACAACTTTGTCAAGAGCTAGATCAAGTGCAAGGGAAAGTGCGCCCTTCTCGGCATGCAAGGGCCTCAAGAGTAGCCGGGTCGACAATGTCCCAAAAAACCATAGCCGAAGAGCCCATGAACAAGTCATTATGGTCCCTGCATACAGCCACGGATGCTCCTTTCTTGATAACTCACCATCAACATGAATCTTTGCCCGCTACAAGATGGAAGGCGAGCAAATGCTCACCGCTCCCCGCGCCAGAGTAAATGGGCCGACCTAGGTAAGTGAAGATCTGTCCTCGAGAACCTGCAAATCCCTGGTAGCTTTTTTCTTATCGATTTTTGGTCAGACATTCTTTTTACTTCAATCGATTTTCTATAAAAATAATCTATAATGTTTTATAGATATTACCAGAATTTTAAAATATTATTGAATTAAAAATTATAAGATGTTTTAAAATACTATCAAATTTAAAACGACTTTAAAATATTCTAAGAAGTATTCTCATTTTTAATGTTAATAAAATTCCACAAATGTGTAGGAATTTTAAGAAGTTCACAAATTTTTAAAATGGTCAAAAATTTGAAAAATATTCTCATGTCTCAAAAAATGTTCCCAAATATCTTGAATTTGAAAAAAAAAATCACTAACCTGAAAAATGTTTGTATTTTTTTAAATTTCCACGAATTTGAAAATTTGCATGAATTTTAAAAAGATCATAAATTGGAAAATGTTCTCAAGTGAAAGTTGTGACTAACGAAATCTCAAGCTGCAATCAGCGGATCACGATGACCATGGGATGCTACGACCGTTGGTGGCAGATGTTGGAGTGGCTGCTGTAGTGCTACGAATGCGGCGATAGTGTCGCACATTTTTGCTCGAACCGCACACGGTGATACTAGAATTAGCACACGGTGATGTTGGACCACTTGATGCTACCACTCGCGACACTGGTGTTGGAATCATTGACGAGCAAAGCTTCGACCTTCGACTCAAAAAGTTTCAACCGTAGAGGTGTGGAGTTGCAACCGGCAGGAGGAGATGCATCGACGACAACCAAACAGAGCCACAACCAGCAACAAAGGGACACATCGACAGATCAACAGAAAAAGCTTCAACCAGTGGTGCGGCGGCGAGCTTCAAACCGAGCGACCAGTGGTGCGACGGTGAGCTGCAAATGGGGGCGACCAGTGGTGCTTTGGTGACGTCGTCGGCCACAACTCCGGTTTTGTTACACAGGGGTGTCGGCGTGCTTGGACCGGCGAGGCGACAAGCTGCAAATCGACGAGATGGCGTGCTACGGCCGACGAGACGCGCTTCACGCGGCCAACAACGACAAGTCATTAGCGGTGCAGCGAGCTGGGGGAGTCAACCGGTACCGTCAGAGGACGGCTTGCATCCTGTGACGAGGCGGACGCGCGGTGCGCCGGTGACTAGCAACAAGAGAAAAGTGAAGATGGTGACGTGGGAAAGGAAGATCCAATGGCTATACGGACGCGGACCGAACGGCCGTGCGGCGACTGGCCGAATTTTGTGTCGACCGGCGCCTAGAGTCTGCCAAAACTTTTTCATTCCGTGACAAGCACACGTAGCGTCGGTGTCTCTGTATATTGTTTCTATTTCACCGCACGTGTTTCACGTGGTCTCAGTATAATCATGATAGGTGGCCTGTCCGTCCGTGTGAGAGTACAGTAATCAGTAATCACTTTCCCTACCTGTCCTATCATGCTAGCTGGAATCACTTATCGCTTTTTGATGGTCCACCTCCATAAGGTAGATACCCATGGGGTTCAGTGGTTCACGATCGTCAAGTGAAGGGAAGCCATTGGACACCATGGGTAAGGCTTCCTTGTTGCTCCTGAGTCTCGTCGTTCCCTTTGTTCTTCTTCTTCTGCCGGTCTCACGCTCGGCGACGGTGGTGACCCATCTCCCCGGCTTCCATGACCGCCTTCCGTTCCACCTCGAGACCGGGTAAGCCGCAGCACAACCCCTTCCTGCAAGCTTCCATGCTTCTTTGTTTTTCAAGTGATCTTCTGCAGGTACGTCAGCGTGGACGAGGAGACGGGAGCGGAGCTCTTCTACTACTTCGTGGAGTCCGAGAGGAGCCCTGACACAGACCCCGTGATCCTGTGGATGACGGGTGGGCCCTTCTGCTCTGGCATGATTTTCTTCGAAGTTGGTGAGACCCTCATCCTTCGTTCCTCTTGTGTTTACTCGCTAGCTTGCTAGAAGCTGGCCGCCGTTGCTGTCAATTACTACTACATCAGAATCAGATTAAGTTAAAGAGTGAAGTTCACCTTGTATTATTCTCTAATTTGAAGCTAGCTGAGCAGATCATCTGAGTTTGAACATATTTATCAGGTTGTTCGCCTTTTAACGCGCCTGTGAATTTTACAAGATACAAGATAAAGATGTATATTTCTTTGCATGCTAGCAATGGAGCAGTTGACCTGATCAAACTCTCCACAAACTGGATATGCAAAATGGTCTACTAGCTGAATTTGGAAAATATGCGAACATCTTGGAATGCTGAATTGCATGGACTTGTGCACAACTAATTGTACATCAGGTAGTATCTACTCATGGGGTTGGGCTAAAATTAAAAAGGGAAGGGAGGAAAATGGTGTAACAAATGGCGTAAGGGCCCGGTATCATTTGCAAACCTGATAATGTGGACATGAATGGCAGCCAGAACTAAAAAAAGTAAAAAAGACTACTCCCAGGCCTCCATTAGGAGGCATATCTCATCCTTTGCCAGCATGAGAAGCGTGGACCTCGTGTTCATTATGCAGAGACCGATTTATCTCTCTTGTCCTTCTTACTCTTGGCTAGTGCCAAGCCAACAAAGCAACCTAGCAAGACGCACAAATGCATACAACCTTCATGTTTTAGACAGTGAAAGGCATTTTGCTAGTCTCTACTCTAGATGACTGAATGCACAGATAAATTTTTGCTGAAAACAAGCTTGTAATTTTTTTTGAAAAAGTGAAGAACACCATGTCATGTTTTCTCAGTTTTGCTCTACTAAAATAACTAGTTTATCCCACTGAACACCTCCATAGTGCTTTCACCACCAGGTAATTTATTTTAATAACGCCAGTGATATTTGCTCCGCAGGTCCTATGAAATTTGTGTTGGCACCTTATAATGGTAGTTTGCCACAGTTGGCCTATAATCCCTATTCATGGTCCAAGGTGAGATATTATTTAATCTTAACATTGATGACACATCTCCGTTCAAGTAAGCATGCAACTTATATTCAGAATTTCAGACAGCAAGCATCATCCTGTTGGATTCACCAGTTGGTACTGGTTTCTCGTACGCTCGTGATGTGGAAGGTTATCACGATATTGGGGATTTCTCCTTTTCTATGCATGTCTTAACATTTCTCAACAAGGTGAAACCAATCTCTCTATGTACTTCAGTTGAAGTTGAAACAAAAGTGTGTGATTCTCTTATCGTCTAATGCATGTGATGCAGTGGTTTACCGACCACCCACACTACCAATCCAATCCTTTCTTTGTTGGAGGAAGTTCATATGCTGGAAAGATGTCTCCAATTATCGCACAACACATTTCGCAAGGTAGGTCTGGACTCTGGATACAAATTCTAAAATAAAAAAGGACATTATAATCTGGTAATTCCAATTGCAGCAAAGAAAACTTAAGATAAAAATTTGTAGGACCAGGATATGTAGTGAATAATCAAATGTTCCAATTCTAGTTTAGAGTTGCTTGTGATTGATCATGGCCTTATCTCCTAGTACTTCTAACATGATCTTCCTTTTGGCTTCAGAAATCGAACTGGGGAAGCAACCCAGGATTAATCTCAAGGCAAGTAAATTCACTAGGCTTCAAGCAACTAATGATTTAATTTAATAAACTACAATAAGTTATGGTAATGAATAAAAGTGTGTTTTCATCACCTTTTGTTCTTTGCTAGTTCATTAATTCCACTATTTATAGGGCTATGTAGTCGGCAATCCTGTTACAGGCTCAGATTATGATGACAATTTCAGAGTACCATATGCTCATGGTGTTGGGATTATATCCGATCAACTATATGAGGTAAATCTACATTCACACGCATCCATAAGTTGCAGTGGTAACACTATTTTCCTTTTCCTTTTTCAAAGGCTGCAATTCGGAATTGTAAAGGAAGCTATATAAGACCGACGGACAAAATGTGTGCCAGGGTGCTAAACACTTTTCAAAATGTAAGATTTGTATTACTAGTACTAGGTTCCAAAATTACTTATACGAGCTGCCATTGGACTTGAGTATATTATATTGGCCCCTTGTATTAATTGCAGCTTGTGTCTGAAATTGATCTGCCACAAATCCTGGGTGTCAATTGTATAAGGGGTATGTTAACACATAAATTTCTATCAGAAGAATACACTCAACTAAGTGATCCGTCTCCTGAGCAACCTACCTTAGATTGTTTTGTAAGTAATTTCCTAGGGTGATCATTTTAAAGAAGATTCACTTTTATTTCGATATGAATTTCTTTTCTGCATTCTGATGATGTGAATTTTGCCTTCTCATGTGTAGGCATACCGTTACTACCTATGTAATATTTGGGCAAACGACGATTCCACGAGAGAAGCTCTTGGGGTGAAGCGGGTAACCAATCATATATGACATGTTTTCCTCTTTATACTAAGTCTCCGTACATATTCAAAAAAACTATATGCATACGTGATCAAGTAGCTAGCAAATGAGATATTTGATTTTTTTTGTCGCCAGATCGCAATGCTACTTTAGCTGGCCTTTCGACACAATGCAGTTTGCAAGATTGACTAAATGATCCAAGAATTGAGTAACATAGTCGTTTCACATGGTTGCAATTCAGACCCATGGAAGTAAATGATGTTATGTAACATATTGGAGTTTCTAGTTGTATTAAGAGTAGACGATCGAGCACCACCCTAACCTTTGTGTAAGATGGTCCAATCATTACTGAAATAATGCATCCATTTAGGGAACAACTGGAGAGTTTATAAGATGCAAGAAAAGTATCCCATACGCATCCGAGGTCCCCAGCAGCATAAAGTACCATTTCAACCTCACAAGCAGGGGCTATCGTGCGCTTGTGTTTAGGTGGAGTATTTATTTTCCTTGGTATTTTACATGTGCTGATTGAAACTTGGTCAACACGTCTTGAAATCACCACCTCTAAGTGCAGCGGAGACCATGATCTTGTGATACCATTTTTGAGCACACATGCGTGGGTTAGATCCTTCAACTTCTCCGTAGTCGATGATTGGAGAGCATGGCATCTTGATGGCCAGGCTGCAGGGTAAAGTAAACATGTTTTTTTCTGTTTACTTTGTTGACATTTCAGTTTTTGGTTACTTGACAAGGAACACATGTGTTGTCTTTGGTGTAGATTTACAATCACATACGCCAACTATATTACATTTGCGACAATAAAGGTACGGTATCTTGTATTTTTCATTCTGTGATATAATGTTGCTGACATGATTGGACAGAAGAAACTGTAACACAACAATAATTATTGGTTAATTGCTGTGCTGAAGCAGGGTGGTGGCCACGTATCCATAGAACACCGACCTAAGGAATGTCTTGCCATGGCTCGACGCTGGTTGGATAATGAGCCTCTATGACCCGCCCTATTTAATTTTATCATTTTCTCCCTTCTCGAATCATGTGGGTTTTTAATGTACAATAGAAGTTCAGACCTCCACCAAGTATTTTTCAAATTATTTAAAAAAAGGAGGATGGCCCCCGGCCTCTACATCTGGTCGATGCATACGGCCACTTTATTAAATTATTCTCACAAGACCTTACAAAGCCATACAACAGCAAGACTAAAGCCATCGTCTAAGAAACAACTGTCGCTACACCTATCCAATTGATGAAGGGGCGTAGATAGTTTGAGCCTAATACCAAACAGACATCGCAGCCAAACCTAAACATCTAAGACCTAAGGTCCCAACCAGGACGCTTGCCGGGTATGGGGCACCTACCAGTCTGGCGCACTCCTCAATCAGGACGCCTGCCGGGTATGAGGCCGCCGCAGCCACCTGCCATCAATCCATCTTCAGAGTTGTATTGTTGCATGTACCGTGTCAGGTCTTTCTGCCATCAACGCCACCACGACGCCCGACAGCGTCGTCCTCCTACGCAAGTCCATCCTCCCACTATGAACTCCGAATCTGCATTGCGCCACGCCGTCAAGATCCGTCGCCATCAGTGTGTAGGATGAAACACCGCTCCACCAAAGAATCCGTCTTATGGTCCCTCGATCACGTGTGTACTTCCAAGAATGATGCCCCCAAGGGAGGAACGACACCAGAGCGCCGCCGTCATCCGATCATCCGATCTAGAGTTTCCCCCAGAGGTAGCAGAGAGTGGCCTTGAACTTTGTGACGCCCCCGATTCAATCATACACTAATCATACACACAAACGTGTACGATCGAGATCAGTGACTCACGGGAAGATATCACAACACAACTCTAAAAATAAAATAAGTCATACAAGCATCATAATACAAGCCAGGGGCCTCGAGGGCTCGAATACAAGTGCTCGATCATAGACGAGTCAGTGGAAGCAACAATATCTGAGTACAGACATAAGTTAAACAAGTTGCTATAAGATGGCTAGCACAAACTGGGATACAGATTGAAAGAGGCGCAGGCCTCCTGCCTGGGATCCTCCAAACTACTCCTGGTCGTCGTCAGCGATCTGCACGTAGTAGTAGGCACCTCTAGTGTAGTAGGAGTCGTCGTCGACGGTGGCGTCTGGCTCCTGGGCTACAACATCTGGTTGCGACAACCAGGTAGAAAGGAAAGGGGGGGAAAGGGGGAGAAAAGCAACCGTGAGTACTCATCCAAAGTACTCACAAGCAAGGATCTACATTGCATATGCATGGGTATATGTGTAAAGAGGCAATATCGATGGACTGAACTGCAGAATGCCAGAATAAGAGGGGGATAGCTAGTCCTACCGAAGACTACGCTTCTGGCAGCCTCCGTCTTGCAGCATGTAGAAGAGAGTAGATTGAAGTCCTCCAAGTAGCATCGCATAGCATAATCCTACCCGGCGATCCTCCCCTCATCGCCCTGTGGAAAAGCGATCACCGGGTTGTCTGTGAAACTTGTCTGGGTGTGTTTTATTAAGTATCCGGTTATAGTTGTCATAAGGTCAAGGTACAACTCCGGGTCGTCCTTTTACCGAGGGACACGGCTATTCGAATAGATTAACTTCCCTGCAGGGGTGCACCACATAACCCAACACACTCGATCCCCTTTGGCCGGACACACTTTCCTGGGTCATGCCCGGCCTCGGAAGATCAACACATCGCAACCCTACCTAGGCATAATAGAGAGGTCAGCACGCCGGTCTAAAACCTATGCGCGCAGGGGTCTGGGCCCATCGCCGATTGCACATCCGCATGTTGCGTACGCGGCTGGTGAGCAGACCTAGCAACCTCCATTTCAAAGGAAGTTGCGTTACGCGGTCCAACCCGGCGCGCGCCGCTCAGTCAATGACGTCAAGAAGGCTTCGGCTGATACCACGATGTCGAGTGCCCATATCTTTCCCGCGTAGTTGGTTAGTGCGTATAGGTCAGTGGCCAGACTCAGATCAAATACCAAGATCTCATTAAGCGTGTTATTTTGAAGTAACCGCGGACGCCGACCAGGGCCAGGCCCACCTCTCTCCTAGGTGGTCTCAACCTGCCCTGTCACTCTGCCACATAGTAACAGTCGGGGGCCGTCGGGAACCCAGGCCCACCTCTACCGGGATGGAGCCACCTGTCCTTCTAGCCCCCACATCGGAATCACTTGCGGGTACTCAACGAGCCAACCCGACTTTAGTCACCATCTGTATAGTATATGTATGTATAGTATATACCCGTGATCACCTCCCGAGTGATCACGACCCGATAGTATAGCAAGGCAGTCTGACAAGAATGTAGGGCCAATGATGATAAACTAGCATCCTATACTAGGCATTTAGGATTGCGGGTAAGGTATCAATGACTGTAGCAACAACGACAGGCTATGCAACAGAATAGGAGTAACCAAACAGTAACATGGTACACTACTCTAATGCAAGCAGTATAGAGAAGAATAGGCGATATCTGGTGATCAAGGGGGAGGGCTTGCCTGGTTGCTCTGGCAAGGAGGGGGTCATCAACTCCGTAGTCGAACGAGGCAGTAGCAACGTCGGTCTCGTAGTCTACCGAAGAGAAGAGGGGGAAGAAACAGTAAATACAATGCAAACATAAGCATGACGATGCATGACATGACAATGAGCGGTGTTAGGTGTGCCCTAATGCGGTAGTAGGTGATACCGACGATTGGGGGAAACATCCGGGAAAGTATCCCCCAGTGTTTCACGTTTTCGGACAGATCAACCGGAGGGGAAATGTTGCGTGTTCGCTATGCTAGGGATATGTGGCGGACGAACGGGCTATGTATTCGAATTTGTCTCGTCGTTCTGAGCAACTTTCATGTACAAAGTATTTTTATCCGAGCTACGGTTTATTTTATATTAATTTTCAAATTTTTTAAACATTTTTAGAATTTATTTAATTATTTAAATCGAACATTATCCAGAATAGTGAAAGTTGATGTCATCATGACATCACCATGATGTCAGCAGGTCAAAGTTTGACCATTGACCGGTCAACTGACAGGTGGGGCCAGTTTGCCATTGACTTAGTTTAACTAAACAGAATTAGCTAGTTTAATTAAGTGATAAGGTTAAGCTAACATATTTAATTAAATTAATTAACTTAGTTAACTAATTAATTAATTCATTAATTAAATATTATTATTTTATTTTATTTTTATTTTTTTTCAAAAAATTAATAATAATAAAAACGTTTTGGGGCGGGGCCCCTTTGCCATAGGCACATAGGGCCGTAGCGGGCACCGGGCATGCGGTTACGGGCGCAGGGGCGTGCTGGGCGACGGGCGCCAGCCCGCCCGACAGGGAGCTCGCCCAGAACAACCGCGGGGCGAGGCTGGTGGGGCGCCGACGGCAAAGGGCGCGGCCGGTGGCGGGGACCGGACCGGCAAGCGGGAGGCATGGGCAGCAGGGGGCTTCGGCGGTGGTCGTGGCCAGTGACGGCGAGCGCGGGTGCCGGCGCGCTCCAAGGGAGCGCGGGCGCGGACAGAGCTAAGGGGGGTTCGCAGCGGGCGTCGCCCGCAGCGAGCAGGCGCGCGAGGGAACCCCAGCGCGGGCGCGGACGGCGCGGATGGTGCGGGAAGGAGCCGGGGACGGGCGCGTGCGGTCCCGGCGAGGTGCGGGCACGGCGGCCGTCAGCGGGGAAAACGGGAGCAGCGCACGGGGGCTGCGGGCGAGGCCAAGGACCGTGCAGGAGCGCGGCCACGAGGCGGTGCAGAGGAGCTCCGGGGAGCGCGGCGAGGCTGGAGCGGCGGAGCCGCGGCAGGGTGAGCCGGTACGGTAGGACGGCGAGGGCACGGTGAGCGCGGGTGACAGAGAAAGGAAGAGGCATGGGGCCTCACCGTGATTCGTAGGGACGGGGCGGCGGGGGTCGGGGTGGTCGACGGGGACGACGGCGGAGAGGAAGTAGGCCGGTGGGGATGAGGAGGCAGGCCGGCGATGGCGTCCGGCGAGGTAGCTCCGGCGACGACGGGCGCGGTCGATTCGGGCGGCGGGGTCGTTCTCCTTGCAACGGCGGTTGGCGAGGTGGCGGCGAAGGGTCGCGGCAACGGGG